TTTTAGTTCACTCCTTTCTTCAAATAAGCGCATAATATATGGGTACTCATTGGTATAACTCAAATTAGGGGACATTAGACCTTTCTTACCATAATAACTGAGTAAGCCACTTTTCCCAGCCAAGGTTTGCCTAATGACACTTTCCCACCCAAAAAGTTTAAAATACCACTTTTCCACCTAAAGTTAATATTTTATTATACCCAAAACCGATTCACAAAAGAAAGTTCTCTCTATCACCATATTTGAATCTCTGGTCTCCTCTCTACAAAATCTTTCTCACTTTACAACTAATTTTTCACGATTGCCGGTCACCACAAAGCTAGAGTTTCCGATTGATTCTGACAGCGAATTCAATGGCCACCACCATTTAATTCTCGGTCTCCACTCTACAAAAACCTCTTACCCTGACTTCTGATACTCACCGAACGCTGGCTGAAAAGTAAAGCATATTTTGGGTATTAACGAAGTATAGACTTAGGCAAGAAAGTGGTATTTTGAAAGTTTTTTATTGGAAAAGTGTCATTAAGGCAAACCTTGGGTGGGAAAAAAATCGTCACCCATTGTTGTGATCCTATGGCTCAAAATGAATTAATATTAAAATATCTTATCTCACACATTCTCAACATTTAAATCTAACTAAATAAATAAACTACACGATTATTTGAATAAATTAAAGATACTTGGAGGTCCATGCATTTTTTTTTTTTTTTTTATAACACCCTTTCTCTTGACACCATAAATGAACTTACGAAGGTACCATATTTGCATATACTATTTTCTACTTAATTTTATTGCAAATAATCTATACAAAATCGAAATTTCATCTTTTGAGACTGCTTTTTTTATTGAATAGACAGTTCTGACTCCTTGACCCTCCTGTTCTTCAACTATGAACATGTATCTTTGTTGAGCCATAAAAATGGTCTAAACCATGCCTCCTGCAGCAAGCTCTATTCGCAAAGTTTATGTAATATATATACGCAATCTCACGGGAAAATGGGAAATAGAATACGGTTGTTAATAACTAATATGAGTAAATCTCCACATGACTGCTATGAGTAAATGATTTCCAATTGAACACATCCTTCCCACCATTTTTAAGGAACTTGTTTGAATTGCCAGTATCGCCAATAGAAAAATGAAACATTGAAAAAATGCCACCCTGTAAGATTGTTAAGCCTGACTGGAAACAAGAAAGAAACAAGCTACATACCACCTTTTTCTCTTTGGGGGCACTCTCGCATAAAAGGAAATGCATAGTACTTGTTGAACAATGATATCAGAAGGAAAAACTAAGCAATATTTGGCATCACTTGAGGAGGTTACTAAAAGATAAAGATACCAAAAGATTGCGTAAACATCATAGAATTTTGAATTGGAAACAAAACAAAAGCACTACGTTTCTATCCTCAACAGAAAATCTACCCTGTGTCCACTTGCTGCAAACTCTGTCATAAAGGCATTGATATACCTGTAATTATGGGCAAAAGAAAGCATTAAAATAATAAATGATGATACGAAGTCAAATGAAATAGAGTATGATTCATCTTGTAATTAGAAAAAGGGAAAACAACTCGTATTGTGACAACATCGCTAAAGGGTATTTTTCCTTCCCTCGGTTGTTAGATATGAACTAAACATATCCCAATCTGCCTGATTCAGTCCCACCACTCTACTCACCACTTTAGCTAATATTTTCGGCTCCTTCATTGTTCCTCTTGCAGTTGAACAACATGACCACAATTGAGCCTTACTCATTTTACTTGCCTAAGCAAACATGTTGACATAATGATTACAGCAAAATCCTAATTCCATTACAATGATCGATGGAACATAAATAGGTACTATGACTTCCAAACCATTTTAACAAGTTTTATGATGTCTGATGTGAATCTAAATTACATCACATTAATCTTCTGTATGAAATGAGAATCAATTCTTACACATACCTACCATGAACCAGTCCATAACTGTCGTTTCTCATAGCTGTAAGCTAATGAGAGACAACCCAAAATAAGATGACTGAAACATTCATACTAGCCAGCCTGCCCTTACCATTCAAGCTGCTTCAATTTGCACTTTGCACTTACTTTTTCTTACACCAATACAATAAATTTTACAGTCAAATTCTAATAGTTAAAAAGTTTTCAATTTGACATGCCAAAATGCATCAAATCTCTGCTGCTATGCACAATCAACTCGACAGTTCCATTAAGCTTTTGCAGACTACTTTGCACATGCCTAAATATTTCAATTGCAAGTCATATAGCCAAGTCGCATTGTATTGATTGCTAAAGTTATATATAATGCTAATGACTTTCCTAAGCCTAGATATGTCAGTTTCCATTTCCCTCCAAATCCCATTTGAATGCCTTCACATTGATAAGCAATAATAACTCATAAAAATAACTGTATATGAAAAATACGAAAGTACTAACCTTGAGGAACTAAACCCCAGCAGTGAGATTCCAAGGACAAGCTTGATCTTAACCGAGCCGAAGCAGTTGCACTATGTAAGGGCAGCATTGAGTTCCAAACTGCTCAGCTCCACAGGCAATCTAACCACCGGAATCATTATAAATAATATAATGATATAATTAATTAAAAAAAAAGGTGAAAATAATGAAAAGTGTTCTGAAGGTCCTCACCGTGATGCGAGAAATGGGTCTTGTAGAAGCAGGGAAGGGCGAGTTGAGCGTAGAGAGGGGTGTTTTGTTGAGCTTGAGAGCGTGAGACTGTGTCGAGAACACAACCTAGACACAACCTTTGAAGAAGCCATTCTTGGATTTTTCAATTGTGGGATTTTTGTGATTTGATTCACTCCCTACCTCTTTACTTAGATTAATAGATTATACCTGATTGCCATTGCTGATTGTGCAATTTTGAATAATTAATTTTTTGACTTGCAATTTTAATCTCAGAAAAACAAAAACAAATACGTAACTTACAAACATTAAAATTATATAATTATTAACATTTATATATATATATATATATATATATATATTATATATATATAATATATATATATAATTAATATATATAGCAACTTTTAATTAGTAAAGTGAAAACATTTAAATTTATAAATTTATAATAAAATATATATTAAAGTGATAAGTTAAAGAAAATGTAATTTAAAAATATAATTTTAAAAGTTATATATATCAAATTATTAATTTTATAATTGTTTATGACGATTTTTCATATTTTGAAAACTTATTTATTAAACTCAACAAAAACTCATAACTCTGATCTTTTATCATTAAAAAAAATAAATATAAATTTTTAAGAAAAATAACAAAAATGAGCATCATCTTGCATATAATCTCCAAAAGATTAGTTCTATTGATTAATCTAACCAAAGGAAGAAATTGAGATGAAATGAAGAAGAGAAAAAAATGAAAAAGTTGTTAATTAATATAAATTTTAGTTGATAAATATGAATTTAAATAGGTCAAAATCACCAATTATTATAAAATTTTAAACCTAATTTAATTTACCTCAAATATTTTGTCGGACAAGTGAACATTTTCCTTACTATGGCTATGTATGAACCAATTTTCCTTACAATGGCTATATATGGGATGCCTCAAGCATGAAAAACAAGAGGCTTCTGAGTTATGTAATATTGGGTTGTGTTTGTTTCCCTATTCAAAATATTATCATATCCATTCCTATTAAATATATTTGTTTCAATATTTTTAAAATCCAATCATATTCATTCAACTTAAAATATTTAAATTTTCTTAACTCATTAGGTTTGTTAATGTAATTAAACACCTCCAACAATAAAAGTTTAAAAATTGATAAAAACACTCCTACCCACTCCATATTCCTAATAGTCGGTTATTACTTGCTGAAAGGTGGTTGGAATCTGCCGAAATGGCACATGAGGGCCTAGGCCCAGACCCGAGTGTGAATTCTAGGTACTGTCCCCCCCTTAAGGGATTTCTTTCGCCTCCCCCATGGCTCGAACCCATGCCCAAGGGGCTATAGGCAAATGGAAAGCACCATGAGTACCATCAGGCAAACTAATTCACACTCGGCTCTAGGCCTAGACCTGCCGGGCAAGCTGGCAGAAGGCTGGGTGTGACAGTAATATTGGAGGTAATCTGATTACCTCCATTTTCTTAGGTATTGTAAGAGTACCAGGGTAATCTTTTTTTTGTTACAATTATATCCCTTATTAATAAAATCTTAGGACAATAATGCCCTTATTTTTAAATTTATTTACATGAGTATTGCTTTTACTATTTCACCCCAATTAATTAACTTTTTAGACAAAATTACCCTTGAAATCAAAACAAATTTGAGCTTACCCAAGCCATCACCACCCACCTGCCGCCGCCACCTACGGCCAGCCAAACCACCGTGGGAAGTCGTCGGAGGTCACCTGGAGTCGCCGGGAGTAGTCCACCATCATAGAGAGGCTTTGATATGGCCGTTTTTGGCCATATTGATGACCAAAAAGGCCATATCCAGAGCAGATTTGGCCGTTAACTGCCCGAACCTTGGCCTTTATCGGCCTTATCTGAATGAGATATGGTCGTTAACGGGCAAGTCTCGCCCAGATCTAGTCAATAACGGCTAGGGATCTAGCCATTAACGGCCACATCTAGTTTGATATGGTTGTTTTCAGCCATTAATATGGCTAGAAACAGTCGTATCGGTGCCTCTCGATCACGGTGGGCTGTGCATGACGACTCCAAGCAACTTCTGACGGTGGTTTGTGATGGCGGTAGGGTGGTAGGGGTGATTTTGATATAAATTAAAGTTTTATATAAGTTGGGGTGTTTTTGCTAAATTTGAAATATTAGAGGTTAAAAGAATTATTTAAAAAGTAATATTATATTAATATTTTAGAAGAGTGCAATTTAGTAATTTAAGCAACATACCCACCAATTTATTCTTCTTAACCAAACATATTAATATAACATATCTACCACCTAACCAAATACATTTTCCTAAAGATTCTCAGTCAAGGTAATATAAGATTCTAGTAATTTAATATTTATAGTAATTTAATATTCCCCGAACCAAACGGACCCTAAGCGATATTACACAAGGATAATCACCGTTAGGCGACAACTGACGAGGAAACAAAATCATTTGAAATTCAATCTAAATTTCTGTACATGGAAAACCATAAACTAAACGGCAAAAGATGGAATAATTTATACGGTTCGTTTAATTCGCCGAATGAGGGACATAATTTCAGCACTCTGCGATGATTTCCTGTGTAAACTCTTGCGTCCATACTTGGGAGAGCCCAGCTGCAACAAAACAAAACAATCCATCATCAAAATGAACCAGCCAAGCTAAGGGAGGGACTTAAATTAATGTTAATGAAAATAAAACTCACCTGGAAGTGGAAGGTAGGATTTGGACCTTTTGACAGTATTGAGAAGCCATCTCGAACAGGCAACACTAAACAAAGGAATTATATCAGTGATGAGCATATCAATGATTTAAGAATCTCATTAAATTAAGCTAGTTTAGTTTGTTCTATTCTGGGTATCAATATATACACAGAGTAGCATATGTTACCTAAAGCAGTGTTAGGATCAGAGTTCTCCGTTGCGGTTTTTGTTGGTGGATTCGTAACTGGTGATAACTTGTCAGTGTACGTGTGAATGAAAAGTGGCACTTCCTTAATGTCAGATTCTTGCTTAAATGTTACTTTTGCTGCCCTTGGAAACTTGAGGTCTCTGCATTGAATATAAATTTTCTTAATTTTGGAAAATTACACCAAGAAATTATGTGTTGTTATATATATGAATGCGACATTTTGTGACGATGAATGGTACCTGGAGTCTTCATTTGATTTCACAACATTTGTGATTGCTGATCAAGAAAACAAGGAAATGAAAAGGTCAAAACAAAAGCTGGTAACTTGTAAAATTTGTTGAAGAACAAAGAGGAGATGTGGGATAATTACGAGCTGATAAATAACGCCGGTGATAGTTTGGCAAAGCTGGATTCCATCTTACTTTGTTTAGAGCAAGCTTGTGAGCGTATTGTTCGCATGAAAGAAGTCTCTGTATAGTATAATAATACAACTCCATGTAATTAATTTGAATAAATGAAATATATATATATTATCAGCAAGATTAACTATATATACCCACTTGTTTAAGGGTACTGATTCGAAGCTCTGCCTCAGCAAAATCATTGGTATCAGAAATGCAGTGTTCAAGATTAGAAGAGACGCTTCCCAGATGGTCAACAACAGTAACCAGAGCCCTGCATATGTATTCTTTTGTGTTTTCGACAGCACTGTAAATTAACCACAACAATTTTAATTAGTCAATTCACTTCTTTTAGGCCATAAGCTAAGACACAGTTCTAATCTTGATTTATGAGCTTGGATAAAATGAGAAAACATGCAAGAAGCCAGAAAATTGGTATTTCAGCTGTGAGTAAAAGCTCACTCTTTTGTCTCCTTGACTTTCAAGAATGTTGTTTCGCAGTAATCAGCAGCATAATGAAGCTGAGAGCGCAAATCTCTGAGTTCCTATAACCATAAATAAAGAATTTTAAATTTGACTTGAAGATATTTATATGTACACATATGAACTGAAATGTAAAATGGATATATAATCAAACACACTGACCTTGAGTGAATTCTCAAAGCGAAAATCTTCCTCGGAGTGAGCTTCTTGATTTTGAAAAGCAGATAATTCAAGGAGATGCATTTTTTTGAAGACAAAAGATAGAAATGAAATGGAATTTAAAGATGCTACGCCTCCCCTAATCTCTCTCTTTATATCTCTTTCAGAATCGGTGGTTGAGGGAGCTTGATACAGTCAGAGAGATATGGGCAACAGGGAGGCTCGTGACACTATCACTGTTAAGGAAGGGAAACAGGACAATTCCAAAAGCAATCAAAGATTCTGTAGCTACCATGAAACAGAAAGATAAAAGATAACAAAAAATATTGAATTCCCGTGATTATTTGTTTCTTTCTTTTTTCTGCTAAAAGTGTTTAATCACTGCCAACATCAACATCAACATCGTCTACTGTCACACCTTGCCCACAACACATCCAATCAAACGTTCATTCCATACAGTTTTTTACAGCATTTCTCAAATGAATTAAACAAAAAAACGTGAAGAAAAACTATCACGAGAAAGTTCTTTTATTACTTGTGAACAGATACTATCACGCCTAAAATGTAATTTTTGATGCATCAAAATTTGCATAGATATAATTTAATAATTGATCTTCTCATCCTTTTGACGGACAAAAGTAAAAAAAACACTTGGTCCTTATTTAGAAAGCACAATGGTTGCAATCAATCTTCTCAAAAAGGGCTATTTGTAGAGCAATTGCATGTAATCAAAAAGCCTAAAACTCATTTCCCAGGGGACCCTTTTTAAAATTACGCCCTTTTGTTATTATTTGTGCGTGAATATGAGAGAAAGCTTCCAACAGTTGAAATAAAAATAATTGTTTTGGCTCACTTCCCTAAAAGTCTTTTCAGTGAAAAAGAGGTAAAAAGTGAAGCATGAATTTTCTGTATTTGTTTTTGTAAAAACATGGCTCTTTTACCTGGCAGAAAAAAGATAATGGAGAGACATATAATTCAACAACATGGTAGCAGTGTAGAACACGGTCTTCAAAGCTACAGGGATTCCACCTGAGTGATTAAATGAAGACATATAGCATGATATAATACATGTGAAACCAGAACTGTTTAAAACAGGACAACAAAAAACTATTTTAAAAAGCTTTTTATTTGGACATTCTATAATCTTTAGGAACATCTAACATCCTGCGCATGTGGAAGGGGAACACTCTCGAATAATTTCATACGCCAAATATCTTGAGGAAAGCATTCAGTATAAACTGTAACGTCATCTACAAACTCTCACACCAACTTATAAAATAAAATGTACAAAATTGTGAACATGCCAATTCTCACCCCCAACGCTAAACAAACCGCTGGCCTCAAGAATCGTCATGAACTTTCAACCTAAGCTCAGAAAAAAGGCCTTAATAAATGACACCTAACACTAGCATGTGCAGCAGACGAGAGCTTCATAGATTTTGACAGAGAGACAGCTCAAGGTCTTCATGTGCAAAACAGATTCCAACTAGGAGTTTATTTCTCTAATTCAATAACATCCGTTAGGTCCTTAAGAAGATATACCTTTACTTCATATCTGAAAATCAATTACACATTCACCAAGTTTCTCTGCAGCCTCAATTTTTGATAGAATTGTCCGATGATTTGATAGCGTGGATACTGAAAGAATATTTCTGAGACTTTCGTATACATTTTGAGTTGGCTTTTCTGTATTACCAGAGGTTCTATCATTTGATAAATGTGACTTTGTCTTTACTTCTTTTGGAGTTGTTGACCTTGCTTCTTGTTTTTTAGGGTCATAAGGCTGCAAATCTACCAAGAAAAGTAGTATACTCTATTTGTTAGTATAAGACAGCAAACAAACTCTTATGCAGATGAAATAATCACATGTCCCAAAGATGATTCAACACATGATATGGAATGCACCTTTATCTTGAATGATTATGCAAGAGTCAACAAAGTGCTTATATTTCAATGAGATCGTAAACAATCATTTGGAGTATGAAGGCTGTCAACTCATATATTCATAGGAACAATGAACTAATGGATCTTAATGATACCTTTGGAGCGTGTAGCCAAACTTTGCCTGGTTAGATATAAGTTCGCACGTGTAATGCATAACCACATTCTTTCTGCTTCGTAATCATGTTCTGATGCAATTGGAATATGCCAGCTGCCATTCTCCGATTCCTAATGATGTATTATTTGCTGATGAGGTATATTCATCTATCTATCTTATAGTTTTCAAATAAATTTACATCGGACACATTCACACTCATTTAATATTGTTGTTCCTATTTCAAACACAGAAAAATGGCAGAAAAAAACTGGCCACACGGACCTGGATTACAACAGAATATGAAGGAGGCATGTAGAACTCTGGACCAGTTTCAGAAAAACTAAAACGCACCTTGCATTAGGAAAAGAAAGATGCCTAATTAGGATAAAACTGTAAATAAAAGTTTTGAATTTTAAAAGACAAGATTTAACATTAAAAACACTATTGAACTGCTTTACTCACTTGATGTCTTTCTTTCCATTTGGGGAAGAAATCATTTCCTAGAAGCTGAAATGTATGATCTCTCATCTCATCATTGGTCACAATTAAGCATTTAAACTTTATAGCTGCATACAACCAGTACCTGAAGTACATGTTATTACACATGGTAGTATATGTTATTCCCCATGGTACTATAAATGCATACACATCACTAGAAATGATTTTGACAATTAGCTATCCAAATAGCCAATTATATAAAAGTTGAGCTGAATTTAAAAAAAAAAAAAATTTAGAGTGCTTAATGCATTCCCAAAATATGTATTTCTCACCAATCATCATTGGATCCAGTTGGTGTTGCATAGAGTGCATCAGCATTTTTCCACTTCTCAATCAATGCTCTATTTACTGGTTGATCCATCTTGGGTCCGGTGATGCGCTTGTTATGCAAAACAATGAGTGGCCATTTCTTTGAAGGAATCATCTGGCGTATCCCATTAACAATGGCATTGACCTAAAAGAATTCCACCAAATAAAAAGAAGATACTATATCAACTCCTAAAGTATAGAAGAAAATGAGAAGCTTTTTTGGATCCACATTTTTAAGCCATTATATAACTTACCCTTGATGGTTTGAATTTCCTCTGGCTGAAAAGACCGACATTTGCAGCATCCACCACTGCTTCAAAAGGTCCATAGTAGTCAAGCCATTTCTGCAAACAATAAGCTTTTTTAAATCATAAAATTAAAGTCCACATAAGATTGGCATCAACTAAAAAGACAAATGGACTTTCATACTTGAAATTTTTGGAAGCTTGAATTTCTCTCTCTCTTAGCAGCAATGGATACAACTGATTCAGCAAAACTCTCGGTTTCAATAGGATCAAGGTCAATCATGGCCAATTTTTCCCCACAGCACTCACATACTGCATCGGCTCTAATAGCGGTACGTGATACATTCCACTTCCCTTTACCTAACCAGCCCTTCCCATGCCAGCCCCCACCTTTACTATGCATTGTTTCCTTCAATGATCTCCTGTCCCATTTTGTTTTCCCTAGCCTTGCAGCTTCTTTGTTTTCAAACCATTGCACAATTATATCTGCAGTAGAGGGTGAGACTTTTCTTACACTCGTCCTCAATTTATGCAACAAATAATATACCTTGTCACCTTTACCAGCTGCTACACTTACTCTCAAGAGTGCTTCCAATTCAGGCTCTTCAGGATAGACTCCATGCTCTAACATGTGCTTTTCAACAGCAAATGCTTTATCAACATTTCCATTACTGCAGAAAACTGTAAGGGCAGGACCATAAGACCTCAGTCTGGGATTTATCCCTAGTGGCTTCATTTTCTTCACCACATCAAATGCCATGTCACCATTACCCATCGACATTGCCATTCTTCCCACCGCTGTCAAGCTAGCCTCATTAAGTGGGACCTTATCCAGACACATCTTCTCGTAGATCTCAAATCCCCTCTGGAGTGCATAATTCTTGGCATCTTCACTTAAGCGAATTTCATGATGATCTTGGTTACCGCTACTCCTACCTTTTTCAGGAGATTGATCATCATCTAAAAATTGAGAATTTGGATTCAGAGGCCAATTAGAAGTCTGGGTTAAGCTATCTTTTTCACTCAGAGCACTACTGCTACTACTAGAATCAACCGATTGCTCATAGTTTGGACCAGAATTTTTCAATTCTGTAACCCCATAACTTACATTGTCCCCGTCACTTAATTCACCTAATTCCATAGAATTCACAGTTGAAACTTCATTAGACATGCCTAATGTATCCAAGGTTCGACTACCACTCCCACTTTTAGCAGGTTTAACAACACCAACAGCGGCAGAGGAGCAAAGATACAAAAGTACATTATAATGGTATTGCCCCAACTTAATCCCTTCCTTAAGAGCTTTATCATACAATTGAATTGCACCCATTACGTCCCCTCTCTTTGAGCACATGTCCAGCTGAAGTCTCAACGGAACTTCTGATGAATCATTTTTAGTACTTTCCTTCGACATATTTTTTCCTCTGACCTTATTATAGTGACCGCGCTCATTGCTTCTCTTATTCAATTTTTTTTCATTCACTACCTCGTTGTCCACAGTTTTTGAAGATTTGATTCCTATGTTCTCATCTTTAGACTTGAAAGAAGAATTCCCTGAACCCACATCTCTTCTTTTTCTAAAACTAGGATTTCTTCTTGTATTCTTATCCCTACTAAACCTCTTTTCAGAATTTTCGTCCACAGTTGAACCAACGAAGTCTTTTCCTAATTTTTTATAGATCCTTTCGTCTCTAGTTTTTAAAGAAGAGGAGGGAGGAGCAGTGTTTTTTCTAGTTCTTAAAGTGATTGTTGTTGTAGTTTGATGGTGAGTTGAAGAAAACTTTGCATGTACTCTGCTAACATGATCTTGGACTATCAAAAGTGGGTGTTTGGGAGGCGAGAAAGTGAAGAAATGAGAAAAAGAGTGGAAATTAAAGAGATAGAGAGAAGAAGGACACTTACAAAGAGTACGAGGGAAGAGATGTTGGTGATGCTGTGGAGTGTTGAAGGTAAAGGAGGCCATGTGTGGCCGTTGGAAGAGCTCTCTGTCATACTTTGCTGATATGGTTGTAATATTTGTATAATTCTGAATTACACAACTGCCCTTGGAATTTCGCCATTGTTTTAGACTTAAATATTTTTATTTTGGCTATTAAGGGAATAACAATTTCCTTCCGTCAGCTCCGGCATGGGAACCTTTCTACAAAGTCCCAGAGCTTCAGAAAACAGTCATTTCATTCTCAAATTTCAAATTTTTTTTCTCTATAAAAATCAAATTCTAATTAATTGTAATAGAAAAAACTAATTCCCTAATTTAAAACACGATTAAATTTTTTGATAAAAAAGTTATTGAATCAAGATTTTATTCTTTTAATTTCATATAACACAATCCAACATGACAATTATTTTTTATTTTTAAGAAATTTTGTATAGATATAGAAATATATATTAAGTGAAAATATTATTCTAAAGTTATTAATAATATTTTAATATATGATCATAACTTTTTAAAATTTTTCATCCCACATTTAATCATTTTTCCCTAATATTTTATTTCACTCTTCTCTCTTCAAATAACACGTATGATACATGGGTATTCATTGGTATAACTCAAATTAGGGGCATTAGACACTTCTTAGTTCTTACCAATTACCATAATAAATGAGTAAACCATTTTTTCCCACCCAAGGTTTGCCTTAATGACACTTTTCCATCCAAAAAGTTTCAAAATACCACTTTCTCACATAAAGTTAATATTCCGTTACTACCCAAAGCCGATTCTGACAGTGAAAATTCTCTCTGTTACCATCATTTGAATCTCTGATCTCCTCTTTACAAAACCCCTCTCACTTTAACATCTAATTTCTCGTCGATTGCCGACCACCGCAAAACTAGGGTTTCCTGTTCTTAGTTGATTTCCAATTGATTCCGATAGCAAATATTCAATTGGTCATCACCATTCAATTCATCAGCCTCCACTCTACAAAACCCCTTTTACCCTAACTCCTGATACTCATCGAACGCTAACTGAGAAAGTGAAGTGTATTTTTAGTATTAACAAAATATAACTTTATGTGAGAAAGTGGTATTTTAAAAGTTTTTGGGTGAGAAACTATCATTAAGGCAAACCTTGGGTGGAAAAAAATCGTTTACCCTAAATAAATTCACCAAATTGTTGTGATCCTATGACTCAAAATGAATTAATATTAAAGTATCTTATCTCACACATTCTCAGCAATTTAAATCTAACTAAATAAATAAACTACACAATTATTTGAATAAATCAAAAATACTTGGAGGTCCAAATGCTTTTTTTTTTTTTTTTTTTATATATATTCCCTTTCTCTTGACACCATAAATGAAAGTACCATATTTGTATATACTATTTTTTATTTTATTTTATCATGTAAATAATCTATACAAAATCGAATTTTCATCTTTTGAGACTGCTTTTTTTATTGAATAGACAGTTCTGACTCTTTGACCGTTCTTGTTCTTCAAATATGAACATGTATCTTGTTGAGCTTAAAAATGGTCTAAACCAATGCCTCCTGGCTGCAAGCTCTATTCGCAAAGTTTATGCTAATATATATACGCAATCTCACGGGAAAATGGGAAATAGAATAGCGGCTGTTAATAACTAATATGAGTAAATGATTTCCACATGACTGCTATGAGTAAATGATTTCCAATATGAACACAATCCTTCCCACCATTTTTAAGGAACTTGGTTTGAATTGCCAGTATCGCCAAATAGAAAAATGAAACATTGAAACAATGTCACCCATGTAAGATTGTTATAGCATGTAACTGGACAACAAGAAAGAACAAGCTACATACCACATTTTTCTCTTTGGGGGCACTCTCTCATAAAAGGAAATGCATAGTACTTGTTGAACAAAGATATCCAGAAAGTAAAAACCAAGCAATATTTGGCATCACTTGAGGAAGATACTAAAAGATAAAGATACCAAAAAGATTGCGTAAACATCATAGAATTTTGAATTGGAAACAAAACAAAAGCACTACATTTCTATCCTCAACAGAAAATCTACCCTGTGTCCGCTTGCTGCAAACTCTGTCATAAAGGCATTGATATACCTGTAATTATGGGCAAAAGAAAGCATTAAAATAATAAATGATGTTATACGAAGTCAAATGAAATAGAGTATGATTCATCTTGTAATTAGAAAAAGGGAAAACAACTTGTACTGTGACAACATCGACTAAAGGGTATTTTTCCTTCCCTCGGTTGTTAAGATATGAACTAAGACATATCCCAATCTGACCTGATTCAGTCCCACCACTCTACCACTTTAGCTAATATTTTCGGCTCCTTCATTGTTCCCTCTTGCAGTTTGAACAACATGGACCACAATTGAGCCTTACTCATTTTACTTGCCTAAGCAAACATGTTGACATAATGATTACAGCAAAATCCTAACTTCCATTTACAAGTGTATCGATGGAACATAAATAGGTACTATGACTTCCAAACCATTTTAACAAGTATTTATGATGTCTGATGTGAATCTAAATTACATCACATTAATCTCCTGTATGAAGAAAAGAATCAATTCCTTACACATACCGACCATGAACCAGTCCATAACTGTCGTTTCTCATAGCTGTAAGCTAATGAGAGACAACCCAAAAATAAGATGACTGAAACATTCATACTAGCCAGCCTGCCCTTACCATTCAAGCTGCTTCAATTTGCACTTTGCACTTACTTTTTCTTACAAGCAGTACAATAAATTTTTACAGTCAAAATTCTTAATAGTTATAAAGTTTTCAATTTGACATGCCAAAATGCATCAAATCTCTGCTGCTATGCACAATCAACTCGACAGTTCCATTAAGCTTTTGCAGAACTACTTTGCACATGCCTAAATATCTTTCAATTGCAAGTCATATAGCCAAGTCGCATTGTATTGATTGCTAAAGTTATATATATAATGCTAAATGGACTTTCCTAAGCCTAGATATGTCAGTTTCCATTTCCCTCCCAAATCCCATTTGAATGCCTTCACATTGATAAGCAATAATAAACTCATAACAATAAATGTATATAAAAAATACAAAAGTACTAACCTTGAGGAACTAAACCCCAGCAGTGAGATTCCAAGGACAAGCTTGATCTTAACCGAGCCGAAGCAGTTGCACTATGTAAGGGCAGCATTGAGTCCAAACTGCTCAGCTCCACAGGCAATCTAACCACCAGAATCATTTATAAAATAATAATAATGATATAATTAATTAAAAAATAATAGGTGTAAATAATGAAAAGTGTTCTTGAAGGTCTCACCGTGAGATGCGAGAAATGGGTCTTGTAGAAGCAGGGAAGGGCGAGTTGAGCGTAGAGAGGGGTGTTTTGTTGAGCTTGAGAGCGTGAGACTGTAGTCGAGAACACAACCTAGACACAACCTTTGAAGAAGCCATTCTTGGATTTTTCAATTGTGGGATTTTGTGATTTGATTTCACTCCCTACCTCTTTACTTAGATTAATAGATTATACCTGATTGCCATTGGCTGATTGTGCAATTTTGAATAAATTAATTTTTTGACTTGCAATTTTAATCTAAGAAAAACAAAAACAAAATACGTAACTTACACGCTTTAAAAATTAATATAATTGTTAAACTTATATATATAAATATATACCAAGACTTTTAATTAGTAAAGTGAAAACATTTAAGTTGATAAATATATAATAAAATATATATTAAAGTAATAAGTAAAAAAAAAAAATATAATTTTAAAAGTTATACATATTAAATTATTAACTCTATAATTATTCAGAACGGTTTTTTATATTTTGAAAACTTATTAATTAAACTCAATAAAAATTTATAGTTCGTGATCTTTCATTAATTAAAAAGGATAAAATAATAAATTTTTAAGAAAAATAATAAAAAATGAGTATCATCTTACATTATAATCTCTAAAGAATTAGTTTTTATTGAATAATCTAACTAAAGGAAGAAATTGAGATGAGACGAGGGAGAGAGAAAAAATGAAAAATTGTTCATTAATATAAATTTTAGATAAATATGAATTTAAGTAGGTCAAAATCATCAATTATTATAAAATTTTAAACCTAATTTAATTTATCTAAACTATTTTGTCGGACAAGTGAGCATTTTCCTTACTATGGCTATGTATGAACCAATTTTCCTTACTATGGCTATATATATGGGATGCCTCGAGCATGAAAAACAAGAGGCTTCCAGTTATGTAAATATTCGGCTGTGTTTGTTTCTCCATTCAAAATACTATCCTATCTGTTCTTGTTCAATATATTTGTTTCAATATTCTCAAAATCTAATCATATTCTATTTAATTTAAAATATTTAGGATCCGTTTAGTTCATTATTCTGATACTTTTTAGAATAATATTTTG